CCCCCCCAAGTGGCGGAACGCCAGGGCCTGGTCGCAGTTGCGACCGCTGCGACCCTGGTAGTTCCGCCAGTGACGTAAAGCATGCTGTGTGTGGCTTGAGAAGTGATCTGCAAAAGTCGTTCAGAGAAGAGAAATAATGTACAGAAGGGATAGTCCATGGAACTGCAAGTGACACTTTTTAAAACAACATACCATAAACCTTAAGCATAAATAAATAAAAACACCAGACACCAATACTGTGGCATAAAATTGGATGCAGCATTTTTCATTGGCTAACGTTAAATATAGCTCTTTAATTAACGTTAAATAAACCATAAAACTTTCTTCAAGACAACAGTCCATACATAACTAATGCTTGGCTAGAAAAGCCTAAGCATACTTCAGCAAAAAATACCATTAGATTTCTTTAAAACTGTCCCCACAAGTCAGGCTTAACCAAAAAAGCCTGGCACCCCCAAAACTGCGACCATTTCTTTGCAATTTTGTAAACTGAGGTTAAAGATGCCTAAACCCACATCCGACAGATGTACAGCATCATGTCTATACAGACCTTGCATTCCCCACTCTAAATCAATGTGCCAATATAAAAAGCTGCAAACTGAAGGCATACATTTCTACATAGATCTTTTAATGCATCGCCTTGATAAAATGGGGGATATTAGCCAAACAAACCTTGGTACAATGAGAGAAAATTATAACACTGTCTGGAAAATACAAATTAAAAAAAAAAACACTCATGACCTCCCCAAGATGAATGTAAATTATATTGTACTTGGATGCTGTCAGGGGTACCGGCACAGGTGTCCCCACACCGTATACAGGTACCCACACAGGTTAACCAAACACGTATGACCACACCGGACAAGGCAGTATGTGTTTATATACAGTTTATTTGTATTAACAACAGGACTGCAACAAGCAGGAATCAGGCCTACAAACTAGTAACGGGACCCAAGACTGCAAAACAGGTAACAGGGTTCAGGACTGCAAAACAGGGAACAGGGTTCAGAACTGCAAAACAGGGAACAGGGTTCAGGACTGCAAAACAGGGAACAAGGCTCAGGACTGCAAAACAGGGAACAGGGTTCAGGACTGCAAAACAGGAAACAGGGTTCAGGACTGCAAAACAGGGAACAGGGTTCAGGACTGCAAAACAGGGAACAGGGTTCAGGACTGCAAAACAGGGAACAGGGTTCAGGACTGCAAAACAGGTAACAAGACTGCAAAACAGGTAACAAGACTGCAAACAGGTAACAAGACTGCAAACAGGTAACAGGGTTCAGGACTGCAAAACAGGTAACAAGGTTCAGGACTGCAAAACAGGTAACAAGGTTCAGGACTGCAAAACAGGTAACAAGGTTCAGGACTGCAAAACAGGGAACAGGGTTCAGGACTGCAAAACAGGGAACAGGGTTCAGGACTGCAAACAGGTAACAAGGTTCAGGACTGCAAACAGGTAACAAGGTTCAGGACTGCAAACAGGTAACAAGGTTCAAGACTGCAAACAGGGAACAGGGTTCAGGACTGCAAACAGGAAACAGGGTTCAGGACTGCAAACAGGTAACAAGGTTCAGGACTGCAAACAGGTAACAAGGTTCAGGACTGCAAACAGGTAACAAGGTTCAGGACTGCAAACAGGTAACAAGGTTCAGGACTGCAAACAGGTAACAAGGTTCAGGACTGCAAACAGGTAACAAGGTTCAGGACACACAGGAAATTATAGCAGGATACTGAGCCATCATCCTGACTGCAGGGAGGGTTTAAATATCTTCCCAGGAAGCACCAGGTGATGGCTAAGTACTGGCAGCTGGGAGACACCCGCAGGTGAGCACTGGAGCTGCAGGTTCCAGCACCACCCAGTGGTGGTCTGGCACCTAACAGCTCCTGGCTTCCTGGAGACACCTGCAGATGAGCACAGGAACTGCAGGGCTTAGCTCCAGCGTCACCTGGAGGCGCTCTGGATCTTAATAGATGCATAGCCAAATTTCTCTGCGCCCAGAAGACATAACTATGGCCAATGATCCTAACTGAAACTTTTTACCTAAAATATTAGAACAGATAAGTTAGGTCTATTATACATTTTAAGCAGTGGCGAACCTAAGGAACAAAGGGCCCTGGTGCAAGATTTTTTTGCCCCCCCCCAAAAAAAACACAAACACAGCGCTCTCCTCCCGCAGCGCTCGGCCGCCTGTCACTTTCTCTCCTGCCCGCTGGGACACAGAGCAGCACCCAGCGGGGAGGAAAGAAAGCACGGATGCGCTGCTGTATCAGCAGAAAAATGGCACTTTTGGCATTTGGCCAAAAGTGCCATTTCCGGCCGATATCTTTGGCGGCTGATATATCGGTGCAACCCTAATATTTATAGCAATGCAGAATGGCACAGGCTATAGAGAACTACATATCCCAGCAATACTTTATATAACAATAGCATTTCTGTATAAAGTACTGCTGAGATTTGTAGTCCTCT